AAATGGCTCTCTTTGGAATATATTTGAAGTTATGAGCGTAATTACAGCCCATAATTCTGTGTTATTGCAACCCGGAAGTCGTATAGGCGTGGTCGTGAACTGATCCGGGTACTTGGAAACATTTGGGAAATGCGACTCGGGTAACAAACTTTAATTGAAATCAACGTCTGCTATTTTTATACATAATTTCCTTTCGTACGAGTGTTGCAATATAGTTTTTTCAGGATTTACGTCATTGTTTCATGGAGGGTAGTTTCAACTTCAATAAGTTAATGAATGAGTCACAAGTTTGTTTTATTTTCATTCGCCAGCTACTAGCGAGTTAACCAAGCGTTGTGCGGGTTATATAATCCCAGAAATTTTCGAGCACTTTTGACACGAATCCATAAAAATAGTATATAGCTTATATACTTTATTTAAGTAAGATTTGTTCAAACCCTCATTTTGCGTAAAATATGTCATTCAGAGTCAACCACTTGCGTTGCCTCTATTTTCAAACTATAAAATTGATATTTTGCGTAATTTAAACTAAACTCACATATTCCGGTTAGAAAAATTAATTTTTAACTTTTTGGTATGATATTGGCCTTTCAGCTGTCACTATCCTACTATTCTTTCGCTGGTAATGAAATTCAGGTCCAAGTAATATATCGACGCGAGAAGTATCGTGAAACATGCACCAACAGCCTTCATATTAATAAAATTAGAAGGCGTCAGGCTCAAAAACGCCAAACTTACACATGTACTGACATAAACAAACCTCAAAATCAATCGCAGGTAGGATTGCGCACTTTTTCCAGTAGAGTTTTTAAAGGAAATGAATAAGTGAGGCAACATTTATCCTATTATACTTTGTAATTTAGATGCTACTTTAGCAACAAGTTATTTTCTCAAATTTCCTTCATTAAATGATGACAACTATATTACGCGAGTTTTCTGATTAGACGCTCATACGAGTACATAGATGCCGAAGGGATGAAACTGTTGTTTGTCGCTGTCGTGCGTCCGAACCTAGAGTTTGGAAATGCCGTGTGGTCAACAAAAGTAGAGAAGGACAAAAATGTAGTCGAGAGTGTTCAAAGACGCGCAATAAGGATAATTCCGGGATTAAAATGCAGACATTTTAAAGAAAGGTTAAAGATTATGGAGCCTCCAAGCCTCTGTTATCGACGTCTGCGTGGTGACCTCATTGAAGTTTAAAAGTATACTCCTGGTTTATACAAGGTCCCAGAAGGATTACTAGAATTCGAAACAAGAACCAACAACAGAGGCTACGGTTATAAATTAAAAAAACTGCGTTGTAACACATCCATGCGACAACATTTCTTCTCGCTTCGAGTCACTAACATGTGGAACAGCTTCCCTGGTAGCCAGAGCTGAGCAGCACTATTTTGAAATGTAGCGGCAGCTACCGCTACAGCTACCGCTACATGCTCTAAAGGTAGCGGCAGCTACCGCTACCGCTACATGCTCTAAATGTAGCGGCAGTTACCGCTACAACTACATGCTCTAAATGTAGCGGCAGCTACCGCCACATGCTCTAAATGTAGCGGGCTTTACCGCTACAGTTGCTTAAACGTAGCACCGCTACCGCTACTGAGAATGTAGCGGCCGCTAGTAGCGGCCGCTACATGTAGCGCGCTACTGCCCACCTCTGGTAACAACTAACATGTTGACATTAGTAACAGGCTGAGGTTGACAACATTACACCGAAATCTTTCGTACAGTTTTATTTCTGTAATTTATATTATTTATGTATCATGCTGGTTTTTAAATAATATTTAATACTATTAAGTAAAATCTAAAGGCTTTAAAATGTTATTGTTTTCGTGTCAAATGTAGCGGTAGCGCTGTAGCGGTAAAACCTCGTATCGCTACTTAAATATATAATGGGCGCTACCGCTACAATTGCTTAGATGTAGCGCCGCTACCGCTACCGAAAATGTAGCGGCCGCTAGTAGCGGCCGCAAAATGTAGAGCGCTACTGCCCATCTCTGCTAGTAGCATCGTTGACGCTCCGAGTATGAACGCTTTCACGACCAGACTAGACGAAGCTATGCAGGAGCATTTGTTCAGTCTTGAAATGCCTAGCACCTTACAGACCAGGCAATAAGTCCAAGATATCTCAATCAATTGTCTGTTATGGAAAGATCGGGTTCAAAAGGCCGGATCCCTTGTGAATCAAGTCACGAAAAGTACAGGAATCGGCAACAGGCCATGGGCCTATATTTCTTCTGTGCCGACACTTCTATTCTTATCTTCTGGTGTATTTAACACATTATCATGTACATCAACGATCAGTTATAATGATAATTTTTTAAAGTAAATGTTCGATTTAGTTCTATCTGTCATTGAGTTTTATCTGAAAATGTTTCTTTACAGAAAGATCTTGCCATGATTAAACTATATACTACTAGTTCAACCATGGATCTTGCTTAGTTCACGCTATGAATTTAGACGGAATTGCGGAAAATGGATGAAATATGGTAGCTCCTTTCTGTAGGAGCTCTTGGTTTCAGTTTTCTTTCTGTTAGCTTAGAATGATAATTTACCACGTTCCACGAAAACCATAGACTGCCTCGTCTCCCCATAACTGGAAGATAGTGACGTACGCTAAATAATATGCGTTTAAAAATTACTTTTTAAAGACAACACTTCTAAAGAATCCAGTGTCTCTGTCTTCTATAACTGTATAACAATAATAACATGATCCCTTCCCTGAGTTCCCTCCAAAATGTAGCCTATAACACTTTTTGGCTTTAACATTGTCTAATGCAAGCCACCACTCAGCCCACCAGACAGATCACATCCATTGAATTAGATCACTCAGCCCACAGGAAAGTAGCCTGATGTAGAATGGCCAGCATTGTCTGGCAATGTCTGCCAATACGTGAAAAATTTTTACACCAACTGCTTGAACCGCACAGACACAGAGGCTCAGACCTCAGAGCGTGCCACGCCAAAGCCGTCCATATCTGTCCTATGGATTGAATCAGCCTACAGACTACAGTCAATTGTCAAATGACCACATGTTGTATGACAATAAATTTAGGAACAGAACTATGCTATCTGAAACCTAACCCCAGGACAGTCCCAGGTGCTGCGAGCTAAAAATTCTGTAATTTAGCAAAGCTGCGGCCGTGGGTGGGTGCGGAAGTCGCTTGTCAAAGGGCAACAGGTTTTGGAACAGAACTATAGCTATGCTTGCAGCTTGCTGAAACCTTACTCCAGTCTCCACTCTCCCGTCTCTGGATGTTGTGAGCTAAAAATGACTGTCGTCTGTCTGGACTCTGGTGGCAGTTGGCACATTGTACATGTACAAGGCTGTTGCATAGTAGCAAAGCAGAGAGTTTTTTAGACTCTCCCTCAAGTTCAATTTTGAGTACTAAAAGTAGACCAGTAAAGTATCATGGATACCAGCATAATCATACATAAGAAATTGGTTTAAATATTGAGTAAACGAGGAAATTAAAAATGAACCGATTCTGAAAAATTTCTGGTTTGCCACTATGGGCTGTTGGCTGATGCCTGATGGCAGGATGCATGGAGATGGAGTTCAACTGGCAAGCTCACCAAGCTGAAGCTGTGCTGGTTGGTTGCAGTGAGTGCCTGAGTGGCAAAGCGGAGAGTTTTTTAGACTCTCCCTCAAGTTTATTTTTGAGTCCTATAGTATAAACTAGGGTAAACGCGGTATATTCCGACACTTTAAGGATTAGCTATGCTTGCAGCTTGCTGAAACCTTACTCCAGTCTCCCGTCTCTGGATGTTGTGAGCTAAAAATGACTGTCGTCTGTCTGGACTCTGGTGGTACATGGCTGATGGCAGGATGCATGGAGATGGAGTTCAACTGGCAAGCTCACCAAGCTGAAGCTGTGCTGGTTGGTTGCAGTGAGTGGCAAAGCGGAGAGTTTTTTAGACTCTCCCTCAAGTTTATTTTTGAGTCCTATAGTATAAGTTATACTGTTATAGACTAGTAGACAAGCAAAGTATCATGGATACCAGCATTTCATACATAAGAAGTTGGCTTAAATCTTGAGTAAATGAAAAAATTAAAAATGAACTGATTCTAAAAAAGCTCTTGTTTGTCACTATGTTGCAGTCTGTTCTCTGTTGTCTGCTACTAGTTGAAGTTCAGGCTAAAGTCAGGGTATGAATGAAGTGATGATTTGATGCAATGTTCAGTGGTGAACAACCATTACTCTCTGGGCTATTTGCTTCAGAATATGGTGGAGTAAAGCTCCTAATAATTGAAGCAAGATGAGGTCAGGCCGTCAGGGGCTGGTTACTGATGGTAGGGTTAATACGTGGCTGATTGGTGGTCATCCGGAAATATGCTGGGCTATTGCTGGCCTCATTATTGCTAGGCATTCCTTTCAGGGCAGATTGGTGCAGAAATTTGGTGGTGCACAGTTGCATTCCCAACAATCTAATCTATAGAAGTGACATGTTGTACAAATTGTGTGTCTCATATTAGCATCAAAATATATTTATTCAAAAGATCTTGCCAACACATTGCTATTAATATATATTCATATTTATTTTTGGCAAGACGTTAAAAAGATAAGGGTTTTTGTGGCTGTAAATCCTCAAGGTCTAAAAACCTGGTCTTGGCAGTATTATGGCCAAACTTTACATAGTGGCATTATGCATGTTTGGAAAAAATACAAGGGTAAATCTTAAAAGCAGATATTTGTTTTTTAATAATAAATTGTTCATTTGACTTGATATTATTCAATATCAATAAATTTAAAAAATCTGGATCAGGAAGTTAACAAAGATGTTGCCATTACAATCCAGTCTGGTATTAGGTGGAGTAAAAGTATTTGATAGTAAATAGCTCATCTAAGTTTGATATTCAAACATTTAATTTTAGAGGGTGAAAGGATATGGTAGTCAGTTTATGGTTCTCTATTATTTAGCACAATACATATGTTCATTCACATACTAAGATATTATTTCACAATAAAGTGGCAGTAATAACTAATCAAAATTTTTTTTCCAGAATTAATTGCATAGTAAAATTTCGATTTTCTTTTTGTCAAATGGCTAACTGCATGTTATCTGAAAGTAGTAGCTCAATTGTCTGTTCTGAACATGGCCAGCTGTTTGGTGAACGTTTGCAAGCACTGTATAATAGCGGGCAGCTGGTGGACGTCATTGTGATTGCTGGCCGTTACCAGGTGTCAGCCCATCGAACTGTTCTGGCTGCAGCCAGCCCTGTTTTACTTGCCCACCTGCAACATTATTCAAATGCTCATTTTCAGCAATTGCAACTAGACACAATCACAGAAGGATGCACTTCAGAAGATTTGCATGCACTTCTAGATTTTATTTATTGTGGCAAAGCTACAATACCCCAATACAGGCTCTCTGAGTTTCTTAGAATTGCAAAGCAGCTTCAATTAGTTGGTGTTCATGAGGCTTCAATACTCTCATCACTCAACAGCAATATCAGGAATGGATGCAATGTGATACCTCAAAGAACCATTCCTGCTCAAAGACCTCTGCACGTGCGTTCTTTGTCTGATCAACCACCTTTAGCAACTGCTGAATTCCAAAGCCTCATCACTCAGTTTCCCATGCCAGTGCCCATGCCCATGCCATCTAATTTCATTCCTGATCCATCATCCTCCATTCCACCTGCTTCTCAAATTCCTCTTGATTCTGAAATAACAACCCAGGAAGACTTCCACATCAACAATAATTTGCTGCAAGATAATTCTGGTCAAGCTTTGCACTCATCTAAGTACAGGCAATCACTAAGAGATGAACCTGTGAAGTTTGGGGAATCAATTAAAGTGGACCACATGAACTGGAGGAGCTTGCCTTGCTCTCTGTCCACCACAACATTCAGTGATCTGTGCACTGCAGATCCTGATCTTAGTATGCTTATCCTTGGTGATGGCAGATCCCTGAACCCCTCACTGAGACCAGTGTTTGCTGATTCCAACGATGGTCTTCTGTCATCGCAAGATGCATCATTCCCTAAAGATTATTCACAAAGCACCCTCAAGCTTGTTCCTAACTCGCTCTGTAATGCAGAACTTGGCATGCCTAGTTGTGAGATGTTCTCTGAACAGCAGCAAGGCCTCACCCCCATTTCCTGTGCTGTTGTGGCCAGTGTTTGTTCCTCAACTGGCTCTATAATTCACCAGCCTTCTGATACATTCGCATCTCATGCTCAAGGGGACTCGCTTGGTCATCAGCCCTTCTCTGGTGAGCTACCCACATTTATCAGTTTTTCCTCATAAAATTTGCTTAGTTTTTTGGTCCAAGTACAAATATTACCTAGAACTTGCTGCAGTTTCCATAGAACAAGCTTGTTAGTTAATGATGCAGAAGCATTGCTGGTTTTAAATCTTTCAATTGTTTTTTCTTTTCCCTGCTTGTTTTGTGGAGGTTAGCATTTATACTACCAATACGATTATTATTTAGGAGAGTTATTCTGAATGGCATCAAGTAATGCCAACCATCTAGACTTTTTGGTCAGCCATATTTTTCTATTGCTCATCATTGTTTTTAAACTTGTATAACAATGCTATAAAATTGATTGATTTTGAATGATTTTTGCTCATGGAGATTTTAGTCATTACTTCAATAGTTACAAGCCTTTTTGACAAAGATTTTTGCAGGAAAATTGTATGGTTCCATTTTGCAGTTTAAAAATCCTTTCTATCCTCTTGTAATTTCTTTAGTAAACACCATCAGGTATATATATAATTTCTGATATTGTATATCATCAGAAATTAATGCTGCTACATATTTTTACTCATTCATACTTGGTTTGAATTTACCAAGACTTTTTAGTCATTACTTTCATCCAACTCAAAAAGTTACCCTTATATGTCTAGAAAAATGGCAATGTTGTTTGGCCAACAAAATTGTATAATTTTATTTTTTTGCTCTTTAGATGGTTTAATTATGCATCCTGAGGTTGAACCACTTGTGTAAAGTGTTCAATTCATTATTTCTCTATATTTAAGAACGGATTCTTATTCAATTCTTCATTTTTCAGGTGTAAATGGAAACACTGTGGCCTGTCCCATCCCATTATATGGCACTGAAGAAGTCACAGGTGTTCAAGATACAAACATGATTCACTCAACTGATGGCCAGCCTCTACATCTTTATCATCACCCGCAGCATGAGCCTCAGCTCACTCTGCCTTCCAATGCCATCGCAGTCAATGCCATGCAGATGGAATCATCATCTGTGCTAACATCCTGCGCTTCTGGTGGCTATGAAGAGAACTTGGTCTATAATACTGGCAACAGCATTTGGCCATTCCTGGCAGGGCCAGCGACTGAATCATCCTCTGAGTCTGTGCAGGGCCAACTAACTATTCAGAAGCAGCCCCACATTTGGTGCATGCCTGATGAAACAAGCTTGCCTGAGTTACGCGACTACTCACATCCAAGTGAGAGTCCCAGCTGGGCTGGCGGGGGGAGGCTTAAAGTCAAGTCCAGCATTGGTGGTGTCTCACTTCAAGATCTGTCATCAGCCAATGTCTCAGAGAAGAGGTGAGTCAAATTTTTAATTCATATTTGCAGAAAATATTACACTAAAGGAAATATGGAATTGGATAATAGCTACCTATATGTTATACTTTGAAATTCATTTCTATTTTTCCTTTAAATTCTTCATAACTTCCAGCTGAATGGTCTCATACATTTACTTTACTACGGTACTGGTCGTTTTGATTTAGGGACACATTTTGTATTTTCCTTGATTAATAACTATTATTGTTGTTTACAGCTTACTGAATTTGCGTCAGACTCCCGAGGATGACCTTCCACAAACGTCCTCAGCATTGCAAGTGAATTCGTCCACAGCTTCGGATCTCACCAGCAACAAATCTCCCAGTGACGGTCAAGTCTCAAAGTCCTCCAAGAAAACAAACAGCAAAACAAGTCGAGGCAAGCTGGCTGTTCGAACGGACATCAAGAACGTTAATTACGACACCCCTTGTAATGAGGATATATCCTTGCCAAAGAATCGGTCACCTTGCCCGAAAATTTCGGGAAAAACTGCCAGTATTAGAGTTGTCTCTGGAAAAGAGCTGCTGGATGCTAGACACGTGAGAGACGATCCGCCTAATCCTCCTGTATCTGCATTCAGTAAAGTGTCGGTGGTTCCCGAACAACAGCTGCTGGAGACCAGCCATTGTGGTTTAGCTGGCCCCACCATCACGCTTCAGGAGATGGCGTACGGAGAGGAAGGGCATCCATCTCTGAGAGGCGATGATGTTGTTAAAATAAAACTTCCAAAGCCACCTTCCCAGGCTGACCAGCTTGACCATTTACGAGAAGCAACCGTCAGCCACTTCGATACAGCACAATCGACATCAAATTATCTCAGTATTTCAACATTGTCAAGTAATGCTTTGCTGGAAACTAATGAAACTGTGCAAGTTAATCCTGATGAACTAATGATCGACGCCGGATCTATGACTGCTGACGAATCTGAGGACATTCTAGTCGTGCAGGAGAATTCAAATGAATACCAATTACCTAATAATACCAGCCTAGACTCCCTGGATGTCCAAGTTATAGATCAGACTGACACCTATCACGTGGATGAAGAAGAATCTGGAGACCCTCCACGGAATCTTCAAATACTTTTTACATCTTCTCACCAGCCTAGTTTGTACCCTCAACCTTTCTCGTATTGCTCGGCGCTTGTGGATGAGTCTCTAGATGAACCATCAGCCGAAACTGTCTCCGAAATCACGCCCATCAAAGATACAGCTAAAACGCAGTGGGCAACACTGCACAAAAAACAGAACCTGGGTAAGGACTCTGAATTAGATTTCCTGCAAGAATCGTCTAACAGCATGGAGACAAATGAACTTAAAGTGAAAAAATGCCTTTTCGCATCAAGGTCCCAAACTCCAGCACTAGAGGACGACACGATTGATGTAACCGATAGTTCAGGTTGTGGGATGCAATATCCTGTACTTGTACCAGTATCTCCTTCCATAGCTTCCGTCCCTCCTTCACCCACACGTCTTTCCTCCTCGAATGCTATCGAAGACGTTGTGTTCACGTCATCCCTACGACCCAACGAAATTTCAGTTTCTGCCTCTCCGTGTCCAGTAATTCATGTCGACGAAACGGAGCTACCAACTGGTCAAGGCATCCCCAAGTCTCAGTGTGATTTCGGAGATTCATTGCACCTTAAACATAGTTTCACTCCCGAACCAAGGCCAGATTCGGAGCCCATTTGTTTGTCGGTTGAGACGCAAATGGAAAGTGCGATTGACATTGTAAGCACAGCCGACGAGGCAACGATTCTACCTCCCAACACGAGCGGCACTTGGCGGGAATCGTTGGGTAAAAGTGCTTCCTGGAAACTAGTTCCTGATTCTGTTGGGGATTCTCAATCTAACGCTGGAGACGATTTCAATTCCTCTGATGTTCAAATAGAAGAGAGAAATATAATTCCAGAAGACCTAACTACTGACTCACCTGCAACGTGCCGTACTATTGGAGAAAACAGAAATAATATCTCTTCTGAAGTAACCAATGAAGTATTTTCTGAACTATCCCCTAAATATTCAACCGCTGAAGCTACTGATACAAATTCGTTGAGGATCGCAGACGCGCCATCAGAGACGGTAATGTCTCTTCCAACCTCACCTCAGACACATACAGTTCCTCATGATGATGATGTTTTGAAAGCGTGTCAAAGCTCTTCTCATTCGTCTCCGGAACTTCACGCCGCAACCAATTTAAGACAGAAAAGCCAGAATTATGGGCTCGACCAATCAACATCTTTAGATTCAATCCCTGCTTGCTCCGATAGTTTGTCTGCAAGTTCAACTTCTGAAATGTCAAACGTTATTCCATTTTCGGAAGTTGGAGTTTCCGGCTCAGAGACTTGTGGTAGTCAAGATGAAGTTTCTGCCAGGAGTGACAGGAAGAGATCTATATCCGTAAAATCTGGAGCCACTACAGCTCCCACCGCCGTGGAGAATAGAAGAAAAGCGAAGGAACCCGAAGTGGCAGACATTGCTACCAGTACTCCAGAATGGAAATGTTAGTAAAGATTTTAAAATACTCGAAATTAGCTGCAATTGTGATTTCAATCTCGCAATATTCAACCATTTGAATAACATTCAATCTATGTGTGCCTTAGCAATTTGATACTCAATGCATATTTTATGTAAAAATGTATCTTCTGAACAGTTGGAGTTTTCTATCGCTTATAACCATCCCAATGTCCATGTTAGTGTGGAAAGGTTATTGACAAATCTGCGACTGCTCATACCATAAACATTTCAGAACTTTAATATATAAATGCCTGTAAACAGATTACGGCGTAACGTTATGTTGAGGCTTTATGTTGTTATCTTACAACATCTTGCAGATTCCCTGCAGTTATTGTGTGTTTATAAGAACTAACATATTATGATATTACATAATAATATTTTCGATAATGAATCAAACTTTCGTGTTTTAACAAGCGGCTCACATAATCCTTCGGGATGCTTAAATCCACAGTTGCCACAGTGAGATATTATACTGGCAGTCTAGAGACCTATACTTCTTCATATAAACTGTTAAATGCCTTATAATTAGACTACACATGCCTTATAATTAGACTAGGTTCTGTGTTGCAGGTACCAAGTGCCCTGAGATTGTTCACAGTCAGGCGGAGTTACTGCAGCACGCGAAGCAGCACTTCTCTGAAGCCTGGCCGCACTGCTGCCTCTGTCAGAAGAAGCTGAAGAACAAGTCCACTCTCAGGATACACGTCATCACGCACGTTGTTGCTGCGCATGCCAGTGTTGCTCAAGCTCATAAGGTGAATGAAACGCAAAAACGCGGAACGACACGAAAATCAAATGCATCGTCAAAGCCCTCGAGTTCCTTCTTGAGAAAATTAATTGCCGTTTCACCTATTTAGAGAACTCCGATGTTTCAGCTACTGAATATCTCTTAATTTGCGTTGGTTATTAGTCGCTCTATTGCATTCCAGTAGACTTCTGCCAATATTGTTGACACGTGCGAGGCGAATGTTTTCGCTTTACTTGTGAACTATTGTCAGTATTTAATTATACCTTCACCCAACGTCGTTGGCAGTTGTCGGTATCCTAACTACCACCACCACCCCACATCGTTGCCAGTTGTCAGTATCCTAACTACCACCATCACCCCACATCGTTGCCAGTTGACAGTATCTTAACTACTACCACCACCCCACATCGTTGACAGTTGTCAGTATCCTAATTGTTTACACATCTCATGTCTTCTCCTAATTTTTCACTCCCCTCAACAGTGCCCTGCGTGTGGCGCGGTTTACTCGCAGCGCAACAACCTGGTCCGGCACCTCGCGGCGCGCCACAACCTGTCCCCCACCGGCACGGCGCTCACGGCGGTCTACACGTGCCCGCACTGCCCCTTCACGTGCCTGGCGCTGCACAAATACAAAGCTCATGTGAGGGCTGCGCGATACGATAGTTAGAGGGCAAGGCTCATGTGAGGGCTGCGCGATACGTTAGTTAGAGGGCCAGGCTCATGTGAGGGCTGCGCGATACGTTAGTTAGAGAGCCAGGCTCATGTGAGGGCTGCTCGGTACGTTAGTTAGAGAGCCAGGCTCATGTGAGGGTTACTCGATACGTTAGAGGCGAGGCTCATGTGAGGGCTGCTCGATACGTTAGTTAGAGGGCAAGGCTCAAGTGAGGGCTGCTCGATACGTTAGTTAGAGGGCGAGGCTCTTGTGAGAGGTACTCGAAACGAACGTAAAGTACTTTTTGACGAGGTAGGATAGGAGTGGCAGCCATTATGGAAAAGGATGTAAAAGTGTGGTTGATGTTGAGAGTTTTTTTCTTATGAACTCGTGTTAACCTATAACTTCTTCTGCAGAAACGATCACATGACCTGGAAAAAGCGCACAAGTGTCCGCATTGCCCGTACAAAAGCGCCGTCAAGAACGCGCTTGTCAAACACATCCGAATTCACACGAAAGAGCGGCCCTATGTGTGTGATATTTGTGATTTCGAGTAAGTCTTATTATTGGTGTTCATGAATATTTGCTGGATATTGTTGTCACTCCCGACACCAGTGCGTGGCAGAGAAGCTAAAATTATTTCATTATTATAATTTTTATGTTGCTATTTGTGTTGTTAGTTTAAATATTAAGTCATTCTTCATCTCGCGTTCAAGCACATAGATTGTCTAAGGAGATGTTTTCAAGCTTCCCATGCGAGTTATTTATACGAAGACGCTGATACATTAACTGTCTTTAATGCCTTTCGTAGCCAAAGGCTTGGTAACCAGAATAAATGTCAGTAGATGAGAGATTAATTAGCCTAATTATGTTCCCGCGCTGTATCACTTTATCTATTTAATTAGGCGCGGATTCATCTCATCGCCTCAATTGGACCAGGTACCACTTTATTGATTCATTAAGGCGCGTCGTTATCATTTATCGATTTAATTACGAACAGTATTATTTATTTATTGAATCAATAAGGCGCGTTATCATCTATCGATTTAATTGGAAAAAGTATCATTTCATCCATGCAATTAAGCGCATTATCATCTAATCCATTGAACTAAGTTGACTTTGTTTTAGCGCGGTGACGGCGAGTATCCTGTCGCGCCACAAGCGTAGCCACTCCGGCGTGAAGCCTCACAGCTGTTCCATCTGCCACCGCCAGTTCGCTGACAGCAAGCGACTAAGAGACCATCTTCTGATGCACGACAACGTCAAGCCGTTCATGTGTCATGTGTGCGGCTTTGCCTGCAGAAGGAAGGACAATCTTCAGGTGCGGATCTACTAATTTTTTTTACTTATTAATGCTACTGATGGGCGCGCAATTTTTTAGACTTTGACTGCGGCCGAAACAACACTCCTTAAGGTATTGGCAGAAACAACACTTCCTAAGGTAAGTTACGGAGTTGGCCTGAATGGCAAGGTTGATAGAATGATGAAAATGGTGGGCGTTCAATGTCTGTGGCGTGGCCTCGAACGGAAAAAAATGCTCTACGGATGTAAGCAGGATAATATCTCGTGTGGCAAATCCATTGACAAAAACACCTGTCTGAAAACAACATTTCCAGACACCTTCCTGTGACAAACAGACGCGCAACTCTAATTTACTGCCACTTGAGAATGCAGCCTAAAGGAAGCAGCTTTCATTATTATTTCAAATACGGCGCTGAAGAGCCCTGCGAGTTGAAGTACTCGGGTGGTGCTCAGGCCCAGGCATAATTACATATTGCTCAAATTTTTTTAAAATTTTACAGAGTCACATCCGAAACCTGCACGACAATGATAAGACTTCCGCCAAGAAAGCGAACAAGAACACGAGACTACTCACTACGGGCTCGCCGAAGAGAAAACGTAAGCATCTTGCTTTCTCTATTCCCGTCCGTAGTTGGTTAATTCAAAAACTCGACATTCTTTCAAATTCTTGCACTGTGTTGATGCTGTTCACTACACTGAAGAAACAAACCTCAGTGTCTGATTCCTTTCACTGTAATTTAATAAAAAAAACGTTGTCAATGTTGCGTGATCCGTCAGTTGCGTGCGTTGATAAAATATGTATTAAGTCAACAGCTGCTTCATTTACCGTTCGTTAACTGGTTTTCAATACCATCTTTCTCTGATGTTTCAGGGGCTCGGAATAAAAATGTATCCGACAGCAATGACGTAAGTATCTTTTATTAGAAAAGTCGAAATTACTTCGGGAAAAAAGTATAGGTAAAATCTATTTTGACGGATTCGTAATAATAAACTTTCATTTCGATAACTACTGTATAAAAACACTATCTAATTTTTTCACATCAATCTAAGAAAATGTATCCAATGATGTTAGTATATTTGCAAAGGTAATAGTACCAGTGAAGTTAGTGTTCATAATCTAGCATGAATTCATCATTGCTACGATGTGTACGGCAAGCTATATATCATTGTCCCTTTCGTACGTCTGGCGCATGGCTAGAGAATTTTCTGTTCGAATTCTTAACAAAAAAAAAAAATGTTTTCAGACAACCATCCGCAGGGTCCGGAGACATCTTTGAAAAAACAGGATGCCGACACATGCAGGCCGCCGCTGGATTTAAAATCCGCAATTCATCCCGGCACCTTGGTCGCCTCGATGGAAGTGACGCATCAGTCCAGCGACGGGGCAGTGCACGTATCCATCCTACCGACTGTAGCAGCAGTAATGACGGGCAACCCTCGGCACAGCAAGAAGGCAACTCGAGCGCTGATGTACCTTTCGTATCATTACACCTCCAAACCCAATTGGATGTAAGGTGTTCTTTATGACGCATTAAAACGGGAAATTTATTTCTTCATGAAACATTAAAACAGGAAATTTATTTGGGAAACCCATCCTCTAATCAGTATTTTCCTCAGCTTATTAATGTTACAAATGGAGGAAGGGGATTGTTGATTACAAATGCTAGTCATTATTTGTTAACGGTATCATGTCGATTCGTTGTCGTCGTCTAATTAATGTAGTATAACTTGAAACGTGCCATAATTAATTTTAATTATTATACTAGTGGTTTTTCAACAATTTATATTTCTCTATAAATATCCACCAACTTCAGCTATCTCTACTTAACCAACTAATAATTAATTGATCCTTTATCTAAATTAAGTCAACTGTATACATTTCCGAACTTGAATGATTAAGACACCGGCCAGCTCGTGACGGGTTACGCTACAAAACAGCAGCAAATCGGGCAAAAAGCTTCGGCATCAAAGGAACATTTTATTACGCAATTAGACCATCTAACTGTATGATTATGAAGAAGGTAATGCTGTCTCTCTTAGTATTGCTTCAGAACACAGTTGTACGGCATTGTTGAAAATGGTTTCATGACAGTTGAAGATTGTCTGGAGTGAGGAAAAGTCTGTTGATCTAACTATAAAATGAATCTGCATTGATACCAATTACTTGTGCTGTAAAAGCCATGTGATTGGACATTATCACTAATACCACTCAGTAGTTATCAGATACCTAGTGGTAGTTATTTGGTCAGGAGTGCTACTTTCTGAAATTAAAATTTGAGAAAAGTTACACAGCAGCAGCTTTCACTTAAAACAAAGAAGTAAAAAAACAATGCCGCTCAAGACATTTCAAGTTATTCACTCTGAAAATTCATCTTCATTTAAAACCTGAAATTCGTTAGTTTCCAGCGTACCGTCAGATACGAGATTAAAAGGCCTGAGCTTGGAAGTTTCGGTAAACTTACCAGGCCCTCCAACAGTAGCAACAGATGCCGTATTGACGTTCGGTCGCTACACATCCTGCTTATTACCTTTAGCCAGGGCGCTAGCGAGAGTCTCAACACCGTTATGCGAACGGCTTGAAAGTAAAGCATCGCTTGTGTCCGCCGTCTGCACTCTGGTGGACTCTAAGCGATCGACGGGTTGGCGCGCCCGTCCCGAGTTGTTGACGAGCGAACAGCTGCCAATAGTGCTCGAGCTGATGCTGAAATCAGGCGTCACCGTCCGTCGTTGGCCTTTCGTCGTGGTCCCATCATCCACTATGGTACATTTAGGCTTCCGTAATGAAGGCTTAGATGGCGCCCTGTTGTCTTGGCCCATGGGTTCATTCTCACTTACTTCACTGACAGAAGCAGGTGAATCTTCTAATTCTGATACGGTTCTAGAATGATCGGGAAATTGATCAATAGGTTGTAGAGGTTTTCCTGATTTTGTACCGAGATAATGGCTGTAATCACTTCTCAGAACGCTGAACTTGCTCTCCAAAGATTCGCCCGAAGCACCAGATTGCCGAAACGCATCTCGACGAGCTCCGGCAGATTTGTCTTGGCTTGCAGGTTTGTCTACCTGGCTTGCAGGTTTGTTTCCCAGGCTTGAAGGGTTGTTTCCCTGGCTTGAAGCGTTGTTTCCCTGGCTTGAAGCGTTGTTTCCCTGGCTTAAAGGGTTGTTTCCCTGGCTTGAAGGGTTGTTTCCCTGGCTTGAAGCGTTGTTTCCCTGGTTTAAAGGGTTGTTTCCCTGGCTTGAAGGGTTGTTTCCCTGGCTTGAAGGGTTGTTTCCCTGGCTTGAAGTTTTGTTTCCCTGGCTTGAAGGGTTGTTTCCCTGTCTTGAAGCGTTGTTTACCTGGCTTGAAGGCTTGTTTCCCTGGCTTGAAGGGTTGTTTCCCTGGCTTGAAGGGTTGTTTCCCTGGCTTGAAGGGTTGTTTCCCTGGCTTGAACGGTTGTTTTCTTGGCTTGAAGGGTTGTTTACCTGGCTTGAAGGGTTGTTTCCCTGGCTTGAAGCGTTGTTTCCCTGGCTTGAAGCGTTGTTTCCCTGGTTTAAAGGGTTGTCTATCTGGCTTGCAGGTTTGTCTCCCTGGCTAGCATCTTTGGGCCTTTCCCTCAAAGTTGTAGCATCCATGAGCGCATGGTCTGCTGAATTTATTGGCTGAACGTTGCTTGAACGGAACATGTCGACATTTACATTGGTTGAACCTCCTTGCCCTGATAGCGCTGAGGGCAGAGTAGGCATGGTGCTCGTGACGCGCAATCCTGCATCAGATCTGATGTTGTGCACCGACGACAGCTCGGGGGCTGGTGGGTTCCCAGCAGTCCTGAAAGGGCGTCCTTGAAGCGCAGCAGCGGTTGATCTAGCAGGGTCGACGGACGCGGCATCACTTTTAGCTGTGGAGGCTAGAGGCTGTTGAGCGATCAAAGTGGTCTCCACAGCAGCTCCACTGCAAAATAAAAGAATGATTAATTTTGTACGGATAATTTAACTGTACTGTATTGAACTGACATGCGTCATCACACTTGACCCTTTGCTAAAGATATAATAATAATAAAAATTTATTTACGATATTGTTCATATTATGTATTTCATGTACAATCACGTCATGAGAAGCATAGGTCACATCATTTATTCGATTGAATAAAAAATCTTAGCTGATTTTCACAAAAAGTTATTAATTAGCTCTCACAGTGGTGGCCCTGTTGACTTTTCCGTTTGACGTTGCAATTGCTGGAAGTCACGTCGCAATGACCTTATCTCGTCGCGCAGCTGCTGAAGCATTGTCTCGTTAGTTACAGGATTAGTAGCAAGCACGCCCCCTCGTGGTTCAGACGTCATTACTCTCTGTCGTGCCCCAGAAGAAATTGCAGGTCCTTCGTTCACAATCTCATCAGCATTGTGACGACTTGCATGTGAAGGAAAGTTACCACCAGCACTGGCAGGAGGGACAGCTCTGCCACTATCAACAGCTTCAATGCCGACGCGATCAAAATAATTTCTTGATAATGGTTGCTTACTTCCCACCTTAGGAGGAAATACAGACTCTATTCTAGAATTTTTGTGCCCATTAGCTGTAAGAACTTCATTTCTAGCTGAAGGATATATAGGATACCTAATTCCTGATGATGATTCAGCAGATACCTCTAGGAGAGGTGACAGGGCAGCGGCGTGTATACCGTGGTTTGGTCGCAGGGGCGGCGGTACTGAAGTACTTATTGCAGGTGCTGCTGTATTAGGAGTTGTTACTGAGGCAGCATTTACAAATCCTGCTGGAGTTGTGGAGGATGCTAAGGCTGTAGGGATTATTCCTCCTGGTGGCAGATTTTTGCCCACATGCGCGTTTTCCTGCTCAGATAAATACAAATCTAAAATTTCCAGCACATACTAAGCTGCAACGCAAACGGATGATCAATTATTTACTATTCTATCTAAAATCGTATTTATTAAACTTTATTGTGGGAAGTACTACACATTAACTTTTATATTAGTACCTACATATGGTATACTGCATCTTTACGACGGATAAAAAATCGAAATTTCAAATTGGTGGCTTTCAAATAGCGATTAATGTGGATAATGAGCATAGGAAATCCAAAAGCAGGCGAATAAAAATCATAAACGTGCACCGGTAAGTCAAATTAAGGCATCGAATTAACAATCAAGCATTAGAGAATACATTCGAACAGACACAAATTAAATTCCCGCAGATGAAACAACCTCAGCAGTGCTTATACAAAATTATTGCAGGGCAGGAAGAACATATATTACATGAAAATCCAAAAAGTGGAAAAGAAGTTTACCGTACAGAGAGACAGGTGAGACAAGGCACGAATCTTTAATCAGTCTTAAATTAAATTATTTTTCAACATTGGTGTTACTTCGCTTAATCAAAACTCAGCGCTTCATTTTCTTTTAATCTTAAATAACCGTCATGCAAATTGAGCGATCTTTAAAAAAATTGCAGTGTTTAGTATGACAAAAGGCAAATCCTCACCATCTGTTGCCGCTGCTGTTGGATAACCTGCAAACAATGGTACGAAAAATATCAACGCCTCTGACTACTCAAGCTTGAGCTGATATCAGTTTAGCCAGCACATGCAAAAAAAAAAAAAATACATGAAAGGTATGCGCTATGCTGATCTTGGTTCTACTGATAATCTTCAAACGAAATTTAGCGCCATATTTTTACCATTCAAGAGAATGAACAAAAACTACACTCTGCATGATCATTACCTTTTTACCGATTCTCAAGGTATTGTTTTAAATTAATTTTCGAGAAAATAAATAACGTGCTACAGCACTGGCTGCCATACAGCAATGAACCCAGCTTGTGTAGAGCAAGGCACTCGATGCCAAAAATTATTCATCACTACCAAGTATCACAAGATTTTCAAATGCATCAACGCAAAAAAAAATCAACGAGTTAGGCATCCGAAATTACATTTAAAAGATAAAAGTAAACGCGAACAGAAGATCGCCCAGATACTGTAAGGGTTTTTGTTGACTGAAAAGTGAAATGCAGAGTGTCCACCCGGCACTGTCAATGATAAAACAAACACAACGGTACATTTTCCCCAAAAATCATTTGGACTATTAAACCACAATAGTTTTTAAGTACAGAAACACTAGGCAGGATACTTCATTGAGTGATAATCATAATCCAAGCAAGACTGTAGATGTAATATTATTATAATTAATCGTCCATTATCATCAAATGTAAGGAGTCCGATGAATCGTTTTGACAGCTCACAACTATGCATGAAATTTGAATGTTTGAAGTTGATCAGCACCTTGCATGAACCATGCAAACACAAAATGACCAAGATGATGCATTTGATTTATAATGAGATACCGAAATAATTTTATGCTATGGTAAAACTTGGAAGCATAACAATACAATGGGAAAACTTCCTCTACATTCATCTGTTAACAGCTGAAAAGCTTCCAGACCCAATATTAATGATTATTTACTGGCAATGAGCAAGAAAAGTGTATGGATATGCAAACTTTCTCACCTTATCGTACTGAGCCAGCAGGCGTGCATTGTGAATGCGCAGCTCTTCAATAGTGGCATCCTTTTCAGCCATTGCCTGTTGCACTTGATTAACTTGCCTGCCATAAAAAAACAGCATAATTAAAACTAACCTGGTAATTTGCATTATGAGAATAAAATCATTGGCGTACTATGCAAAGGGAGAAATGCTTGAACAATCAACAGTGAACGTAAGGTTTCAACAGTAATATGCTTGGTAGCAAAGATTGAGAGGAACTATATTATTTCCAATTAATAGAGGAACTATATTATTATGATACAAGTAACACAAAATTTTATTGTTCTCAAACTAAAGGAAGCAAAATTTTTAATGCAGTGCATGGCAATGGCCAATAAAGTTAAAAATAATTTAAAATGAAAGCACTGAAATTTTTACAGAAAAAGTTAGGCCTGTAAAAATTTACAAATCAATTTTGAACTCTATAATTTTGAATGAAGGACTGACGAAAGGTGTTGTGCTTGGTGAGATTCCGAAGAAGGAGCAAGAGGCGTTTCGAAAACAGATGTGAAGTTAGAAGACTGAGCTGACTGAGGGGTGGGAACTTTTACAGTCCCTCCGGCACCAGCCAATTGTTGCTCCAGTCTTTCAAGGTCCTGAATGGTTTCACTGTCACCTGAAAATATAGCAATACTTCAACACAATGAATCATAATATATTACCATACATCTTGCCAGATGGGTACAAGTTCAGTAATTGAAATAGAAAATAAAATGTAACTACTGAATATATGTTGTTATAATGTGACTCAATACTTCACAATGGAGCTTTTTCTTGGCTAAGATCATTAATAATATTTTTGAATGCAATAAGTAATTTGTTTGTTTAATAAAGGAAAAATTCATTTATCAGCACAAGACCAAATAATTTCCAGTCTTCTCACAACACCAGCAACATCACGATGCCACAGCACAAAAAAATTGTGGCAAGGGCTTGTCCTATTATTGATCAAGTCCTATTATTGAAGTGTAGTAGTCCTATTGACCTTCTTTGTGCAAGGATTCAATATATTCGGATTAGAATTCTTCCCAGAGATTGATCAACATAACTACAAATGGACAGAAAATCTAGAAATGTTATTTTCTGTAATTTTCTCATAAGCAAATAATTATTTTTGCAGCAACCAATCATTCTTAAAATAATTATAATTTAACAAAAATACTTACTATTTTATACATAAAATAGAATATTACACTTACCTCGATGTTGGAGCTTTGTCTTAAGTTGCTGTAGGAGTTGCAAAGCACTGTCAGAAAACGGAGTGTTGCTCAGTCCATCAGAAGAAATACGACCTCCACTTCTGACCTGCATCAATGAAACAGAATAGATATTTTCTTAAATAATTTAAAAACCGCCTTTTACCTTGATGTTGACAGTCTCACAAATCAGTATAGGTCAGATCTTAATGGAAAAATAATCATGTTGACTACTTCTCCAAAAGATGCAATGAATGCTTAAATAATAATAGACATAAATAGGGCCATAGGGGTTAGACAAAATAATGGAAACACCTGACATTTTGATATTGTAATTTTCGAACTTGTTATAAACAACGAAAACTCAACATATTTTCATGTTTCATTGCTTATTGTTGCTGCTAATTGATATTTTATCCTTGAACAGATATTTTTAGTGAACTTTCGTGTCTATAGCCTAACCTATAACCAATTAATGGCAAACATCTCAACTTTCAAAGAGGCCAAATTTTTTGTGCCCACATGGCAGGTGATAGTGTGACAAACTTCCTGAATACTTGACATTTCTAGAGATATATACCTACTGTCTCAAAAGTAATGACTGCTCTTGAAAGAGAAGGAAAAACGTCCTCAGCAAAGCACAGGTCTAGCTGAAAGTCAAGGTTGTCAGAGAGAGACTGTCGGTACCTAATTTGAATTGTGAAGGACAATTGAAAGACCATGGCTGTAAAAATGACTGCAGACCTCAATGGACACCTACAGAACACAGTTTTCATAAAAACTGTCTACTGAGAGCTGCTCTGGATTCTATAGGAGAGCAGTAATCAGAAAACCTCTGGTTTCAAATACAAATGCTTCAAAGCAATGCATTCAGAGAGGTGTAAAAACCTCCAGAATTGGTCCTTTGGACAGTGGAAAAAAGTGTAATTTTCTTTAATGAATCATTGTTTACCTTATTTCCAACTTATGGTTTAGTTTACATTAGGAGATACTCCAAACGTAAACTTTCCACTTGTAATTTCCAACCTCTAACAGAACTTGAAGTTGGAGATGCTCCTCCCAACCATAAAACATGGCAGGGGATCTGAAATGATCTGGGGTGCTATTTCTTGGAAATTAGGCAAACCAATGATTTCTCTTCATATAGGAATCCCCAGCTGTGACTATTCAGGAATTTTTGGAGGACCAAGTTCATCCAATGGTTCAAGCATTGTTACCAGAGGAGAATGCTATCTCTCCAGATGATAATACCCTGATCCATACAGTTGGAACTGTTAAAAATGGCACAAAGAACATTCCAATGAAGTTGGGCATCTCATTTGGCCAGCACAATCACCAGATCTGACTATTATCAAGCATTTATGGTCAATTTAAGAGATTCAAGTCAGAAGTTGATTCCCACTGCCATCATTTTTACTAGAGCTGGAGGGGGTTTTAACTGAAGAATAAGTTAAAATTCCTTTGGAAACAATTCACAATTTGTATGAATCAATACCTCAGCGGATTAAAACAGTAATTGATGCAAAAGGCAGACCTGTGACATACTAAAATATATTTTGCAGATTTCTCAGGTGTTTCCCTTATTTTGTCTAACCTCTGTATGAATACACCAGTAATTATCAACTAAATTGTTTACCAGAAGATTTTATGTTGAAATACTATTTTCAGTGCAAAATTTTCAATTCACAAAACACAATAGTCAGAGGTAGATAATTCAATATAAGACAAATTTCAAGTCTCACTAGATTAGCAGCAGGAGTGTTGATTGAATTTGAATTCCTTTCCAACAGATGCATTCCACCTCCATTTAAGCCCGGATACTGTTCCTGGCAGTGCTGATTTGCTTCAATCAATGGAGCAGCTTGCTCATTAGGATGGTGTCTTGTAGCAGAAGTTTGCCTCTGCCGATGGTGCCTCAGAGGACTGATGTTTGAGGGGCCTGCAGGAGGGCTGTGCTTTCGGTCTCCCTGTTTTGTAGAAGTTTGGATGGTCCTGTCTTTATGAGGGCTCTTATGGGATAGCCCTTTCGAAGGTCTTTTGTCAACAGTATTTTGGGAAAAATTGTGTGCAGCCACACTGGAAGTGGAATCGTCAGCACTATGTCTGCTATAATTCTGCAATAAGTCTCTCCATGTGGGATCAAAACTATTTCTATCTGAAGATTTCTTCTTAGAAATTCCATCTCTCTTTGAAACCTCAACAGTCATGTGACTATTTTTGTTTATGACATCTTTTGATTGTTCTTTTGCAGATGCTTCTCTGCCTGTTTTTATTACATCCTGTTTGTGCGGTTTTCTTCCATTCGAAATTTTTTCCAACTCTTTTTGGAGGAGGCAGTCTCTTTTGAAAGCTTTTGGTTTTGGCAATGTACTAGAACTGTGAGGTGGCTTTGGTTTTGTTCGGATCAACACTTCTATCATCTGATTAGCATTCTGAAACTGTTCCCTATGCAGTATGCGCTCAGAAGCCATGGCTGCAAAAAAAAGAAGATTAATGAACATAGAACTACTTACAATAAAATTGTAGCAGACTAAAATTAGAAAAAATAAGCACAGAAACCCTAGAAGTGGAGAGTGTCAAAACTTGACAGATGAAATTTGACAAATAAAAATAATTTCAGCATATTAAGATTAAAGTTAGTAACACCGCCTATACCTATTTTTTTTCCTGCTGAGTGAATACTTGTGTAACAGTGATGCCCATGCTCAAGATGGGTTACCCATGAAAAATTTTTCTGAATTTGTCTCTATCTGGGGCCAATGAACCATGCAGTTTGGGCAAAGCAATATATTTGATAATTTGTGCTAGTTGCATAGAGCAAGAGATTCTGCTGGCAACTATGTACACTCACTACTACACATGTGTGAAAATTGCATGGTCCAGATACCAGCAAACGGGGTAATAAGGGACAATTATTTTTGTTGATAACTTCTTGCCATGAAACAGTTCAGACTCATTTTAATGGTCTTTGCAATGATTATCGTATGGCATCTTTAAAAAATTCTATGTGCTATTTGTAAGGTGCTCAAAGCAAAAAACATGTACCAAATTACCTCTGGGAATGGGGTAATAGGACACTTCAAATAAAACATAATTTTAAAATGTTTGAAGCATGCAGAGTGTACTCGTCCATTACTAACAGTACTCTGAAGTCCTCCTTAGTAGAAGATGTAGATGTAGAACAAATGATGTTTTCTGTGATTTGCATTTGTTCTTCATTTATTGATGATATTACCATATCCATTAATCATTAACAAAGATATTTTTAGCTCATTTTCTCATTTATGGAAAAAAATGCACTATTGTACTCGCCATGTCCGTCTGTCTGTCCATCTGTCCGTGACCTCAAGTTTTCGTTGGCAAGAAAATGCGCTCTCTGTCACTCACTGCAGTGAGTACCGGTACTGAGTTATATTTTTTATGTTCTATGTCTAACACTTAAAAAAACTTCATTCCATTAACAACATTGTCCACTGCAAGATTCAAATCATCAGCTGTATGGCATTTCCTCTGTAAGCTTATGGGACTGGGCTTGTAGTTTCACACCATTTCAATAATTGGGCCAGGGTTGGCAATGATTAAATCAAAATGATTATATAAATCATGTAATTAAATCATTTGATTTTTATAAAAATCATGATTTTTTATTTTTTTATATATTTCAATATATTGAGTGGCAGTCTCTAATTTATTTTGAGGTATTGTTATTCATGGTTTAGTATAAATGTACTATGAATGACAAATTGGTATATAAACTTGTTGCCCTTAGTGTGTATTATGTTCCAATAAATTTAATGTTTTTGGTACAGAGGCATCAAGTGTTGCAATACATTGTACATAGCTAGCAGCTTAGCCAATTCTTATAAGGCTATAAGTAGTCTTTAATCTTCAACTATTTGACTATTTGTTATATATTGTTTACAATATACAATTTAAATGTGTTAGCTTGCTTATACAGGGTGGGGCAGAAACGATTGAGCAGTTTTGATGCAAAATAATAGAGTAATGGAGGTACATATAGAAGAAAGTTTATTTTCCTCGCAATTAGCATAACATACCATTTAAAATACTTATGATTTGAAAACAATATCAGGAAGATGGTGTTTGTTAGCTGTATCACACTGTTAGAGTCGTTCTCGGAAGTTTCCTACAGCACGTTCACACATATGGCAAGGTATGGCCATAACCTCTGCAATAGTCCATTCCCTTAGCTGTGGTAGGGAGTTAGGGGAACTCCTGAACACCCTTTCTTTTAGATTCCTCAAAGAAAGAAATCACAAATGCTCAAATCAGGTGACCTCACAGGCCAACCCCTCAGAGTCTGGGAACATGCGTTTCATAACATTGAGTGACATTCGGGCTGTGTGAGCTGTAGCCCCATCCTGCTTGATCCACACGTCTCCCTATGTTTCATTTTCAACAATGTTTTCCATCCTGGACGTCAAGAAATTTTGCAACATTGCAGCATAGCAATCAGAACTCACTGTCATAGTTACTCACTCCTCTGAGAACGACTCCAACAGTGTGTTGCAGCTAACGGCCCCCATCTTCCAGATATTGTTTTCAAAACATAAGTATTCTAAATGGTATGTTATGCTGACCTTTAGGCAGGGTTGGCAATGATTAAATCAAGATGATTAAATCAAAATGATTAAATCAAAATGATTAAATCACTGGATTTAAAAAAATCATGATTTTTTTATTTTCTTATTTTTTTTTTATTTTTTCATATATTTAAATATAGGTATTGAGTGAGTCTTTAATTTATATTGAGGTATTGTTATTCATGGTTTAGTATAAATGTACTATGAATGACAAATTGGTATACAAACTTGTTGCCTTTAGTGTGTATTAGGTTCCAATAAATTGAATGTTTTTGGTAGGTACAGAGGCATCAAGTGTGCAATACATTGTACGTAGCTAGCAGCTTAGCTAATTCTTAAAAGGCTATAAGTAGTCTTTAACTATTAGACTATTTGTTATATATCGATTACAATATACAATTTAAATGTGTTAGCTAGCTTATACAGGGTGGGGCAGAACTGATTGAACAGTTTTGAGGCAAAATAAAAGAGTAATGGAGGTACATAAAGAAAAAAGTTCATTTTCCTCAAGATTAGCATAACATACCATTTAAAATACTTATGTTTTGAAAACAATATCAGGAAGATGGGGTTTGTTAGTTGCATCACACTGTTGGAGTCGTTCTCGAAAGTTTTCTACAGCACGTTCACACATATGGCGAGGTATGGTCATACCCTCTGCTGTAATAATCCGTTCCCTAAGCTGTGGTAGGGTGTGAGGGCGACTTCTGAACACTTTCTCTTTTAGATGTCCCCAAAGAAAGAAATTGCAAATGCTCAAATCAGGTGACCTCGCAGGCCACTGTAAATCACCCCTCAGAGTTTGAGAAAATGTGTTTCAAAACATTGAGTGACATTCGGGCTGTGTGAGCTGTAGCCCCATCCTGCTGGAACCACCCATCTCCCAATGCTTCATTTTCAACAATGTTTTCCATCATGGGCCGCAAGAAATTTTGCAACATTGCAGCATAGCGATCGGATAGGAATTCACTGTTACAGTTATTCCCTCCTCTGAGAACGACTCCAACAGTGAGTTGCAGCTAACAGCCACCATCTTCCAGATATTGTTTTCAAAACATAAGTATTCTAAATGGTACCGTAAAATGGGGTAACTTAGACCACTTTTTTTCTTTAATTGCAACATAAAAAATAACCTTTCAAAAAAACAAAAAAAAATTAATAAATAAATAAAATTTATTTATATTTATAAAATCTTTTGACTTCTTTGATTTAAAAAAAAATAAAGAAAAATCACCAACCCTGAATTGGGCCCAGTAAATTCATTCACTAGAAAAAAGATCATAAAAAACATACAAGAAACAGAAAGGAACATTTTAGTGACAACCATCATATTTTTTGGAGAAATGAATCATAGTTTAGGTTAATTACTTTTCATTCTATGTTGCCCGGTGCACGATTCTATCTATGACATTCTAAGCACAATTTTATGATGACAGATGCCATACAAATCTTGTGCTTTGGAATATCACAGCTCAATTGTATACTATTGGCAAGTTATATTGGCAACAATTAGATAATTGAGCAGGAATCTTGTAGCTCCAAAATTCAAAAAAGATCTAGTTGTTAAGTCTTGAATTGTTCTGCAGGATCTATCATCTACCCAACCTAACTTGGCAATTCTGATGTTCACAAGTAAAACTCTTCTGCTTGATCTGACTCCAAAAGATCTTAATATAATAATTAGTCATCAAGTATACAAAACTGATTTCAATAATTATTTTTTATTTCACTCAAATCTTCAAGCTTAGCTCACCAAAAGCTGACAATTAAATCAATTATTATTGCTTTCAATGTTAAATTTTGGCATTGTGAAATCTATTTTGATTTGATAGATAGAAGAGCTATTGTAGTAACTAGTTAAGAAAATGCATTGCACTTAAAATTTTAGAGCTCAAAAATAAATTTTGGGCTACCAAAATAACCTAACATAAATTAGACTCTATAAGCTGCAAAAATACAAACCAATAAAATCTTACACAAGTTATGACTCAAAAAGATATAATATTGTACTATATTGGCAGAAGAAAGGATTTTTATAGTCTATAACAGTGGTTCCCAAAGTGGGCGATATCGCCCCCCTGGGGGTGGTGGAAAATATAACTATAAAATTTAATGAAAACATGAGTGTTGATTTCAACATATAACAAATATACCCACCTGTAGAATAAAAATGAGCTAAGTGCGTAATTTTATTTCTAATTTTAATAATAATTGGCACCATCGCGTGAAAATGCAGCTATGCAGCATCAATGGTCACGGTCACCGGACATCAATCAGTTGAGACATGCATTTGTGGTAAATGTTTGTGTATCATTTGCTCCTCCAAATGTCCTTGGCAGTGTGCATCACATTGAACTCGGTTCGCTGTTGTCTTAGTCGTGAGACACTATTACTTCCTAGGGTAAATGCGGTATATTCTGACACATTAAGGATGTTGCAAGAAATGAATGGCTATAAAAAATCACCCAATGGCCAACTTGAGTTCTGTTTGCTTTACGTCACTCTCAAAACACCGCACTACGTGCCAGCAACAATGAAACGTCACAAAATGTTGCCATATATATTTAAAAGCCTTTAGAATGCAAACCTACCAAATCCATATATTCCAACACTGTGTGTGACTAAATTTGGCATTTTGTGAGACTAATTCTGGCCGCGCTTCAAACTCTACTAATTTGTAATTGCGACACTCTTGTGTTTGAATTCCGATCGCTGTGTGAGCTGCATTGGAATATGACACAGCTTGGAATTAGAACACTATTAAATATTGAACACTACTTAATTAGGCTTTTAATCAAGAGCTATTAAGCTTTTAATTAGGAAAATTTTAATTTTTGCACAGAGCTTGGAATGAACTGTGTGTGTCTAATTCCAAGCTGTCAGAAACTTGGAATTA